GCCTTCCAAACTGTGCGCTATGACGAGAACTGGGAGGCTGAGTTTCATGAGCGCATCAAGCAGATCAACATCTCAACGGAAACTAAAGGATGGCTGAGCGGTTCGGTGTTCGCGCAGATAATTTATTTCTTGTTTTCCGACCAGATGTATGTTTGGGTAAGCGACGGTTTTTCTCTTCGCTGTTATGTTGTTTTTCAGTTTTTGATTCGCCAGATGCTAGGCACTTGTTTTTAAACTGATGCTGCCTGCGCACGTCTCCACTAAATATGTTACAGTTTGGCCGCCGGTGCAGAGTTTGGATTAATGCTCCGTTGTGTTTGAACTGAAAGCTGGTTAAGAGTCTTTGTTAGGTTATGACCTCCGGTAATAATGGAAACAAGAACTTCGTAGTCTTCATCATCAGGCCGTTTCACTACACTGCAGGACAAGGATTGTTTCACCTAAGTAAGCATTCGGTTTCCCCGATATGATCCTAACGTTTCAGGCTTAACGATTTCACCGTTCAGCAGCATTCTTGATCTTTACGATGGCTTCTTTCGTCAAGTTCGCAAGCGTAGAGTAGTGTCTGTGTTTCTCCTTCAGTATCATCAATTAGCTACCCTCGTTTTTCGTGCAACTGATGGTCATTCAACTTTTTGAGGATTTCTGCATTACCCGACCATATCCAGTCAATCGCGCGACAGATATGGATAATCCTGTTTTTTAGCATCAACTTTCGTAGGCCAGTCCCCAAGTTAATTTAATAGTGTGTTTTATCACATATTGTGCCATGTACTCTTACATATCTTTGAGATACTATGCGTTAATGTAACTTATTAGTTGAGAAAAACTGCCGTGTCGAATCCTTTGTTAGTACATTTCGTCACCTGTCTCTGACTTATTTATCGGATATCGCTGAGTTTGATATTGGTCGATAAGTGCAGCTCAGCTCCTTCGTTACCGTCCTTCCTTCGTTCATCTCTGTTAGCGTCCAATTATCCTTTGTTCTTATTGCGTAGCTCAATAAGGAAAGTCAAAATGAATCTGTCAGTGTATAGGGTTAACAGCACTATTGCGCTTCTTGAAAGTAATTCATTGGTCATTGATGGTCATAGTGCAGAACAAGAATAATCGCCTTGTGGTTCTAAAATGACAAGTAGTCGTTTAAACGATTGCCTTAGAAATGCTGACGTAGGTACTGCAGAACTGCTAAAAAGTAGCTGCGTTGATGTACACGACTGAACTGACAACTTTTTGCAGTAGCTTGTAAATCATCGGCATTTCTATATTCGTCCTTGTCTTTTTCATCCTGATCCACTATCAAGACAGTCGACTAGTCACTCTATCACAGGCAACAGCCCTCCATCATTGTCTGTCACCGGGAAGTTGCTGATATTAAATCCAGGTAGTTTCTCGAATCTCATTGTCTGTGATTAGTCTTTTCTTTGTGTTTTAGCCCATATCTTTCTGTGCATATTGCCATGACACGTGCTTTTCGATTCGATGGTTTTCGATGCGTTGCAGTCATTCGCTAGTATGTTCCTCGTATTGCAAACCGTCGAATCGAAAGGCAGGTGATGTTCAACCATTCATGGCATGGCAGCGGTAATAGCAAGCATATTGCCATGGCATTGTCGAATAATCTGTATTGATACATCTGCCATAAGTGCATGCCATCTTAAGTGACGCTCATCTGTTGTGTATTTGTTAGTGTCTGCATTCTGTCATCATATTAAACTTTTCTTGAAGCTCAGTTACGGATTTCATCCATCCTAAATTTTTCACTGATTTTCCAAGTTAACTTCGTTCCTGTGAATTGTCAACTGCTCGTACTATTTTTGGCATGCTTTTCAGACAGGTCGCAGTAAATTGCAGATAAGCCACTGATTCTTGTGGTCGTTAATTTACAGGGCGAACATTTCTGCGAGGCAGCACTTGCCATCATGAGAGCACAAAAGTGCTCTGTTTATATTGTTTGTATGCACTGTTTCATGTTTGTATCGATGGCGGGTAAGTAGGTAATGAAAATTAATTTAAACTAAGTTTTACAGCCCTATCTGCCTTATAAGAGGTATGCAGTATGAGGAGAAAATAGTTTTCGAACTGACAGCTGATATAAATGGCGATTTGTTGTCATTGTCTACCGATGCCGAATGGTTCATCCTTGCTTAGCGCGTGCGAATAATGTGTCAGCCTTTTAGGCCGTCGTGAATGCGATATGCTGTTCCCTGTTCGTTCTCGTGAGGTTGGTGCAGACGTTTATATTCGGCAGACTGAACACCCAAGAGCAGATGGTACATCTGAAGTTGTGATTGGCGCGGCAGAGTGGCAGTTTTAGTTCATTCACGTGTTTTTTGCAGAATTTTAACAGTCGTCTCGGCAATTGCATGTTCTACAAGTTCGTGTTCATATTCGGCATCTTGAGCGTGCAGTATCTGGACGAATTGTTGCTGTGGTCCGTCTGGTTCGCATTCATTGGTTCCCTGCAGCTGCTGACCGAACTGGCGTCCGACCGGTTTAAATATGTAATTTAACCGCGTAATTTGTCTATAATTATAGCGTTCTGTGCTAATTTGATTCACCGGTAGACCACATGAATTTCTGCGGTGAATCCTCTATGTAGCGAAATCGTGAAGACAACTTTTTTGATATATCGTAATGTATATGTTCGTTTTGCGACAATGCACCATGCGGGTCTGCTGAGTAGAAGGTCTGTTTCCCCAACAACGCAAAGATTATTTGCCATATGGGGATAGCAGTGCGTTAATGTCGAGAGTTATTTATATTGGCCGTCAATCTTTTGCAGTGTACAAGAGATTTTGTTCTCTTTCTGTCTTGATCTAAAAATGGCTATCGCTGGTTGTCAGAGTACGTAAAGGACGCACCCAGAGAATCAGTCATTTCGACATCGTTATCTGCTGCAGTTTGAATTACGCATACCGCCATTTTTTCTTAGAATTAATGTCGATTTGAAGAATTTGCCAGTTTCAAGGGAGCAGCGAATATAGAAACTCCTGCACTGCTCGCGATAGTGATTCT